AGACAGATCAATGTACTGAATTTTTACCACAAAAAGACTTCTTTTTTCATCATTAAATTTCTTTCACCTTTTATCCCTATATTTCCCAAATCATTCCTTTCTTTAAGGAATAAAAGAAGAAAAAAAGCGCCCTTTTACAATAAATTTGTATAATTTATTTTCTCATGCATTTCTTACTTATTCAAAAATTTAAAAAAAAAAATTATGTAATTTAGCATTACTTTATTCTCTTCATTCATCAAAATAAACTATTTTAGCTTTCATATTTGCAATTATTACAAATTATACAACTACTGATTGGATCATTCATTCATTAGACCAAAAGAAACTGTTCTATTTAAACCGAAACTGAAGATGTTTATATATATATATATATGAATAATCTGAACCAGTAATACTAAGCTATGATCAATGATCGACTGATTATAGATACTATTTAATAGATTAAATGTTTTCCTTAATAGTAGAAAAAAAAAAAAGATGATATCATTTGAGAAATATCACCTAGTTCAATTAATAATTATGACAATTACAGCTGTAAGATAAATCACTTCTACGATCTTGGAAGTTACGAAAATTCATAACTGATAAAAATGTGAAGAATCTCACCGTTGCACTAATAACGATTAGTTTAAAATACGTACGAAACTACAGCTTAAGTAGAAAGTACGAAGACATCAGATTATCCATCTTTCTATTTCTTTTCATATCCATGATATTAATTGATCAAAATTAAACATAAACTTCTTTAGTCAATACATATCTATTTTCTGGAGAATATCATTTTCAGGAGATTCTTTTCCGGAACATGGATATGCTTTGTTTACATTGTTCAGTTCTTTCTTGATCCCTTACAATCGGATTTATCTAATCTTTTTACTTTTAAATGATAAAAGATAAGTTACTATACCATAAACAAGACTGATTATATCTAAGTTTATCAATAATTTAACAAGAAATATTGTGAAAAAAAAAAAAAAAGATTGTAAAGTGGAGAAGACATTCTATAATGCAATTTACTTTCAGGATTAAAAATATAAGTTCCTGAACAATTTTTTTTTTAAAAAAGGAGAAAAAATTATTACGAATTATTTTATTAAAGATAATTTAAATAAGAATTAGTATTGGATTTATTAATAATTTCATTTATCAAACTTGTCATTGTTATTGTAATATGTTTCATAACAAATTAATCAGATCAAAAGATACATAAAATATATAAATTACCTGGTATTTTGTGTCACAAAACATCAGACCTTAAAAAAAAAGAAAACTCATGTGGGGATTTTTGATAACAATAAAAAAGAGAAATTTTTTTTTGCAAGTAAGAAATCGTTAGAAAAAAGTAACACACTAGGAATATTTTTAGAAGTACATTTTATTTCTCTCATATTTTTTCGTTTCTCAACCAAAACATAGATAATTCAATATTTCTGTTAAGTATTATTCTTATTTTTTATTTTTTAGAAGAGAACTCTGTAATCGGATGAGAGTGATTTCAAATTTCCAAATCTTCAATTGCCTCATACGCTTATCAGATTTGTCCATTACCATAAAAAGTTATGTCCGAGCCTGAATAACAAATACACACGGCAGAAGAAACTGCTTAGCATTTTTTTTCTTAATTTTTTGCTTTCCGAAATGGTACGCAATTTATTGAACAGCTAAAGTATAACCAATCAAAACACTAATTTTCAATAAATAATATTAAAGTTGATTGATTGTTGATCTTGACTTAATAATGTCAAAGCCTCTATTGCTGATGGTACATGCATGGATTAGAGCAGATGCTGACACTTAACACTGCTCATAAATTGCAAACATAACAAAACTGAAAAAATTGTTTTCAAAATCAGAGAAAAAAAAAAGATTCTTCCGATACATCTCACAATTTCACTAGCCACTTATAATATAATGAAGGACAACATTGGATAGTTGTGCTTAATTAAATGACATCATGAAAGCAACCTTAAGCATATCAACATAAGTTCTTTTACATTATATTTGTGAAATACAAACTACCACAACTTATCGCTATAATATTTAATTAACTTAATTCTAATCCATTAGTCATTTTCCGCATCATTTGAACAAAATTTTGCCTTTGAAAGAATCAAAATATTTTTTAATAATTAATAAATCAAATCTTAATTTCTCTTCATAGATAGATGTCCATGATAATCAATGACAATGAAGACTGCTCTCTTGGCGATGATTCCATACACGTAAATTATCTCCCTTTACCTCATGATAATAGAAATTAACAATAGTTCGAAATTTTTTACATTTTTCAATACTTATTTATTGCTTACCTAGTCAGCCCATTTATCTATACCTTTAGGTCGACGTTCATGTAATGTACTAAGTTTGGGTATTGGGTATGGTATTTGGATATCACATCGTTAATTAAATGTACACATATATGAGTGCTAAGTACCCAGCATCACATTTGGCCATTTGCGCTCTGAAACTTGGCCAAAATACAGGTTTATTAAAGAGGAAAAAGAAGTTGAAAAAAAGTTTGCTTTTTAGACAGTCCTGCTCAAACAAAATTGTTACAATCCGAATTGTTCCTAAGATGATCGAAAAAATATTTGCATTTTCTTTTTTCGTGTTATCTTTTTTTCACATCTACTAAATTTCGATAACCACTGTCAGCCATCGAAAATCCAAATGAATGATCCAAACAATAAGAACAATGAAGAATTACCGTACTATCTTCAATTGAACTAAGATTAAGCATTGAAGAAAATTTGTTTCATTTGATACCAAATTGTACTGTAGATTTACAAAAGGTTAATAAGGATGAATCTATTCAGAAAGAAAGAAATTTGAATGCAAAAACATTTATGAATGAGCTAAGTTATTTGTAAACCCATCAAATTTAACGAGTTATTTGTTCCATTTTGGGCAACACTTCTGTAATGTAAATTACGTAAAAATATGAAGCGGTCAAAATATCTCACCCATCAAATCCCTTGTATAAAATTTTAAATATTATCGACCTCTTACTTTCTACAGCTTTTTCATTTCGAGTTCTATTCATAGCAAAAAAAGTCTTCACTTGTATTTGACATATTTTTTGAAATACTATCTCACTGTATATGTGAAAAAAAAGTGATAAGTAAAGATATGACAAAAATGATAAAAAGCTTAGTCATAATGGAAAGAAAAGATGACGCAGTAAAAATTACATCAATAAAATAAAGTGTATACTACTTTACTACACCAGATGTTGTCGAGATTGAGCCAACCGTTTATTTGAATGCAAAAACATTTATGAATGAGCTAAGTTATTTGTAAACCCATCAAATTTAACGAGTTATTTGTTCCATTTTGGGCAACACTTCTGTAATGTAAATTACGCATGAAAGCGCTAATAATGACCCATGAAAGCTTATGACCCATGAAAGCGCTAATAAGACAAAGCATAGCAACTTCAGTAATTTTCAGAATAACCTAACAGGAGTGTGAATAGAACTGGAAAATATTGCAGATAGGTTAACAATGAACCACAGAGGTAGGCTAATAATCTTATCCTGAGGAATACGGTAAGTATTGTAAATACTGTAAGTGTCCAGCATATCATTATAATTGGATAATAAACTGTCCTTTCCACAACATTATATCACTCATAGTTTAACATTCAAATTTCTTTTTCATTTGCAAAAGAATTAAAAATTTTAGAAAGTCTTAAAACCATCACAAAATAACAAATCTATCCTACCCAATCATCCCATTCTCATTCTTCTTATGAAGATTTAGGCAACCAGTGAGCTCTTAATAATATAAGCGGAAAGGATGCAAAAAACGTTGATAATTCAACACGTAGTATTTGGTACCGTTTGCCAAAATCATTTAGCGCTAATCTTTTTACTATTGATTTTGCATTTTAGCGTGGATTTTAATAGAGATATGTTATCATTGATGTTTGCGTGATCATTTAGCGCTACATGTGACTTATGATGTTCGCGTAGATAACACGTAAACGGATAAATCTGGTGTAAAACTAGAAAGAAACATATATCCGGATATTATCCATTACCAGCACAATGGCATCCCCATTTCACAAAAACCTGGTCTGTATCGCTCTCACTTATGACCGACAAAGTAATTGCGTAGCTGGTCGCTGTGCAACTCAAACATCCACTGCAAGCAATTCTCATATGTTGCGAATTAAATTGTACCCCTTATCAAAACCATATAGAAACGAATCCTAGGAAGTTTCGAAGTTTCTAGCCTCCAGGTAGCTCTAGACTCTATAATTATTCTTTAGGAATAATTAACCATCAAAAACCTACTCGACCCACCTCTTTTTTCCTAAATTTGTTAATTTGAAAACTCAAATCCGGAGTTGTATACAGCATGACTTCCCGAAGTTCTGTTGTATTCAGAAAACGATGTATCAGAATACCAGTAACAGTAGCATATTAGAATAAGCGTTTCAAAGGTAATACGGTACAATTTGATGGCTTCCATCATATGGAGGAATGTTCGAGGCAGAATAATAGGCATAAGCAAATAATTTGTACCATCCAGAATTTCAAAATTCTGGTAATAATGAACTTTTGTCAAATCTCGAGATTTAAGTGTTGTGCATTACGAAATATTGGGAAATCTGAAGTTAGTATGCTTTAGAAAAAGAGAAATGAACATCAATTACGACATTCGGGGAACATTGAAGATATGTAAAACGAGAAGTAATAATGAGGTTAAAAGAATGAAACCCAACAAAGAAAGGAACCAATGGATGCAAAATTTTGCTCCAAAAATTGTTGTCTAATAGCAATTCAAAAACCTCATTTAGAATAGCAAAGCAAAAATCCAGTGTTTTACAGGATGTTATTCATGAACATGGAATTTCCTACACATAGTATTTAGTGAAACATGTGGTATTTCGGTTTTGAAAAAACTTATCATAGCTGATTAACACTAATTTAAGATTTGTGATTCAGCACATAAGTTCAAATTACTCCAGTCTAACAAAATGTCACTATCAATTAATCGCTACTAAGCTGCATTTCGTAATCTTCATCGCTATCACTCTCAATCACTTTTTTATTACGTCTTTTCTTTGGAACCACAATTAAGTCATCCTCTGTCTTTTCATCCTCGCTGTCATCATCAGCGCCGTCATCAACATTGTAATTTACGCGAGTTCTTTGGCGTAAAGGAAGTTCTTTTCGTTCTGATGGTCCCGCTTCGTCGGAAGTTACTGGATCTGATTCATTAAAATGCTCCTGCTGCCGGTGTTGCTTTTTTTCAACTTTCTATAAAAGTGAAAAGATTTTAGTAAAGCATCAGACAAAAAATTTACCAAAATTACCAATTCTTGCAAAATTTTCTTCCCTACATAACACTTCAAATCTATCTAAACATAAAGTACAGTGAATATGCATACAGATACACGTTTGGTTTAACATGCAGTTATCAAAAATGCTAAAAAACTTTTCGACTGTTCGAACAAACCATGTCTATCAATAGCAACGTCTCTGTACGTCAAATATAATCACTAATTATCAATTTAACAAACAAAAAAGCACACTATCGACCGTCACTCTTGATCAAGTTCTCATGGCAAATTTTGGTCTTTCAGCTATTCTGACTTTAATGTTAACTTCCTAAAGCAGTTAAGATACTACAAAGTTATTAAATTTATTTAGAACTATTCCGCTATTTTAGCTTACGAATTGGATTCTTTCTAGCATAAACGAAACTACCACTGGTATCAAAATTTTCTTATCCTACCATTTCTAAAATAAATCAAATTCTATCTATTTGTAAAAAGCAAACAGTGAATACACACCGGCCCAAAGAAATCCTCCATGTGCATCACTGGAGAAGTCTGCTCTTGCTTCGACTTCTTAATCCTTTCTCGCTTACCACCCTTTTTAGTCCTTTTATTATCTTCTGCAGCTATATTTCGCCGAGCATTTTTCTTTTCAACCTACAAAATGCTACATTGTGTCATAATGTAAACACTGCCATCATACTATTATCATGCCAACTATAGAACGAAAACGACGAAAAAATGGAAGGTTATTTCACCACTCATAATTAGACTGCTCCATCTCGTCATTTTAAAACAGTTCAGCAACTTACATCATCGTTCTTAACGATGTCTTTCCTCTTATTAGATGGCAAAGCAATAACGCTATTATCACTGCTCTCGTGAACGGATAGTTCTTCGACGATATTATTTTCATCTGACTGGTCATCTTCTACAAACGAAAAACGATAATTATTTTAATGACTTAAAAGCAAAAACATTCTTGGATTTCAGTTTGCTTACAAACCTTATGTGCAATTAAGATTTTATCTAGAAAATTTTATTAGTCATATAAACCATCTGATTTTGTTCAGTGTATCACTCTATTTAATGCAGAACTATATATCAGATAAGATTATAAAATGCGGAAAAAGACTTTAGAGAAAATCGCGCCTCATTAAACTACTGATGAATTTGCTACCTTACTTCACTAAAATTAAAGAAAAAATGTACGAGGTCATTAGGTCAATGTATAAGCGCAAAGGTTAGTTTTAAATAATAGAATAAATGGTAACAAGAAAATTCAGTTGACCATTATTTGATTTTCTTTGCTTGACTTTCATTCCCGATTGACTTTCCTGCCCATCGTTTTTGTCTTGAATGAAAAATTTGCGTACATCAGTTCCTTTCGGCTTTGATTCTTTCACCACAGGTAGTTTGCGTCTTCGACCTTCACAAGCCTTTTTCTGCTCGTATTTTTCTTTTACTGCATCAATTTTTGGAACCACTCGCTCAGCAAATGGATCAGGTAACACTTCCTGCATATTTCTGAGGTAAAAAAGACGGAATCAGGTAAACTAAGGGATAGAGAAAATTAGATAAAGCTGGCAGAAGTACAAATATAGAAGAAGATGCAATTTTCAATTTATTTAAGTGCAAAAAAAGTAGAGCGAAACTTAAGTAAAGTAATAAAGGAAATATTTTTTCAGGAAGATTTGATTAAACCACAAGGTTTCCTTTTCTAAATCCGTTAGACATCAATTTTCAAGCATCGAAGTAAGAAGCAGGAATAACGAAATGTAGGAAATAAATTAACTTGCCCTAACTAGACCAACAGGGGCTTTCTTCCGATTAGCACCGATAACATCAGACTGTAGTTTTTTTGCCGCATTCTTAATCTGTATGTCAAGATCAGCTTGTTCTTTTGCTTCCTGAAATCAGAAAGTATCCAGCATTTGAAAGGTTCTCTTTTTTTGAAAGCAACTCAAGAAACTTTATAACAGTATTAACCCTCTGGATAACAGATGGATTTTAATGCAAGTAGTACACTTTTATCCATCATATGAAATATATATATTCTATCCATCATATGAAAGCAATTCAAGTTAAATGATTTCGCTTACCGACAAAGTAATACACATATACCATACCTGTTTCTCAAGCTCGGCAAGAAAACAATTCAAATCATTATTCCACAGATCTGCCCAAGTCATTTCTTCTAATGACTAAAAAATATTTTTTAAAACATTTTTTAATGCAATTTTTAAGCGGATTTTTTTTAATAAATCGAACTTCGAGAAATTGATCAAAAAACACTAGCAAATTTTGCTCAGAATAAAATTCTCGCTTTCTTGACACATATGTAGTTTAATTAAAGATTTATGTAGTCTTTTACTTTTTTTTTATTTTTATTTTTTTATGTAGTTTAATTAAGGATTTGTAATCTTTTAATTAAAGATTTATATATATTTCATTTCATTATATGTCACAGTACTTTAAAAAGTATTACTTATAGAAACGCTTATTTATAGAAACAAGTCAAGTATTCCTCATAGAAAGTCGCAACTGCTAAAAATGGGACTTATGCTAAAATAATAGGACATTTGCAAAACATACCTTAAGTTCAATCAATTTTGCTTCACTTTCCCTCAACAGCTTATCTTTTTCCTCTTCGGAAAGTTTCAAGATTGCCATACCCACCAAATAATCGTAATCACTTAATTTGTTGGCTAGTTCCTTACTTTGATACGCATCCTGCCGAAAAAATATTAATTACTGACTGTAGTAAAATAAAAAATTAACTGCTTACATCAGTAAATCATAAACTTGACTTTGAAACTAAATTAACCTCTTCGTTTTCTTCTTGCTCCTCCTCATCTTCATCTTGTGTTATCTCACCCGACATTATTAACTCCTGTTTTTTCCTCTCCTCTTTCCATTTCTTGACTGGATCCGGCTTGAAGCTCATTTTTATCAGCTGCTCAACAATTGCAGCTTTTCGCTTGTTTTCGATTAATATTTCTCCTTTTATTTTAGCCAAAATAAATCTTGCCTGAATTTAATAACTGATCATGTTTCTTAAATCTAACAAGCTGGATGAATTAAAGAATGAATAATTTTGACTTCAATTAGTATGAATCCTTTAGCGTAAGTTTAAGGAACTCCAGCCAACATACAACTCTCTTCTCTCACAATCATGACATGATTGCGCTTGTGTCAGGTAGTTCTGATAATGTGTTTAAAAGCTATGTAAAATATATTTCAATATAATTACATAACTTTATTGTTGAAAAAAAAAAAAAAAACTTATTTGAAAAAGAAAGGAAAAACAAATTACTTGATTTGAGAGTCGTTCACTCTGTGCTCGTAACAAGCCTTCTTGAAAACTTTTGCGCTCGATATATTTCTTCTTACGTATTTCAAAGAATTCTTTACAAATATCAGTAACATTTTCAAACCGTCGTAAATATCCAAATGGATCGAAGAGCACCTGGCAAACACGACTATAATGTTCATAGACCTATGAACTATAAGAGAAACAATTGTAAAATATAAAAAATCATTTCTTTTTTATTGAATCTAAAACCTTCCAACATTCAACTAAAATAGGATGATAAGATAATGCCATACCATTGAAGTAGTGTTAATAACAGTTTGCAACTTGAAAACTTTGTGAAGGCCTTCCTCTTTAGACGCTCGTAATTTATCACCATTCATTTTGATAACAAATTTTACAGTTGTATCAGTATGATATTCTTTGAAATCCCTAAAATATTGATAAACATTATTCATGAAACTTATTTACACATCCAAAAAAGCAAATAAAACCTTTATAAGTGCACCTGCTTATTTTATTTATCGAATCAATCTTTAGCAGTTAGGAAATGTGCCGAACTCATGTTTCCGGTTTAAAACCGGTCCATTCAACATTCATCTTTGATTTAAGTTTCAAGCACAACAGAACAGCAGAACAACAAATAGGAACTTCTACCGGACATAGTTTAAGACGATAAGGTTGAATATCAGATTCAGGAATAAAGCTTTTTTTTCTGTAGTAACTATTTAATATCTCCAATTGGTACTTAAAGTGTAGCACAAAATGAAGTTTACCACATCCTTCACCAAGAACTTATTAAAAGATTACAATTTTAGAAAAGGACTAAAATTACGTTATGAATGCTGGTTGCTTATCATTTCCATCCATCATAGGTACTAGTACTGTCTCTTTATAAGTTTGCGTCCAGGTGCGAATTGGTAATTCAGTTATTTCAATAGTTTCATTGTTAATAACTGCCACTTCACCATTACAAACAAATCTTTGGTCATCAAGCTGTTCTATAGTACCACGAAAATGTTTGTACCATGGTATCTACAAACATTGTGTTATTTGACAAGAATTGAATTTGCGACATTTGACCTTTTTTTGTATTAAAAAGAGAAAAATGAATTATACGAAACGATGCGTAAGTATGCATGCAAACTGCAACGAATTCCAAATATTCAGTAGTAATAGGAGTTAATCAACAGAGAGTGTGATATGTATAAAATCACAGGAGGTTGCTTATCTTTCTACTTCCTGAATTTTCCTTACCAAAGGTTTCGGCTCTTTCCCATCAATCAAAGCGCGCATATTATCCACTATTTCACGTGGGTTATAACATGGTACTTTTGTAGACCAAGCTGTACCAATACCTTCTGCACCATTAACTAATACGGTAGGAATAACTGGGCAGTACCTCAAATAGTTTTCATGAATAAAAAAAAAATCTTTTCATTACAAAAAATTATCTCACGGCTCGAAAATTCAGGAAAGTTTTGAAATTCCATTAACAGATAAATCCCCAATTATGAGTCAACTTACAATAACCGTGAAAAAGATTAAAACTGCATCACCGGTTACTAAGAAAATAATAAGACAAACTAAGTAAAGCAAATCATACCATTCCGGTTCGATCTTCTGATTTTCTTCAAACAAGAAGCGAAGAACGTTTTCATCAATAGATGGGAATAATGCTTTAGTTACCGGACTAAAATTATTTTGGATATAAATTAGATGATATTTATATGCTATAATTTTAATGTTTGTAGAAATATTTGCACGATTTTTTTCCATGAGATATATAGTATGCTTCAAATCATAAAGCAAAATAGAGATGCAAAAATAAAAAAAAGTCGAATTATAAAAAGCAGAAACCAAAGATATTTGCAAAGTCTCCACATTAACAATTGAGAACCTGCTTACTTAAGTTGAGTAAAGATATAACGTGGACTAGCGCTATCTTTGCCACCTTGCAAACGTGTACCAAACTGTCCAATTGGCAACAAAAGGTTGATATTGTTTGAGCCCACAAAGTCTTGTGCTAGATTCACAATCGTTGACATTAGCGATGCCTGAAATATCTCTAAAGTGTTACGGCATACTAAGGACTGTTACGAGATATTATAAAGCTAGAAATTCAAATTAGAAGTTCTAGACGTGAAATTTAATTGGTCATTAAGCGAGCTAGAATCGACGCTGTAACTTCGATAGCTTACAGACATAATCTTCTGGTTACAATAGTCTGATCTCCAAATTCAAGAGCCAAAAAATTTCAACACTTTTAAGCGCAAAATTATCGGAGGTTTTAAAATATAGCACATAAACATACCAAGTGCGAAGAGGACCCTGCAAAAACGATTGTAACTAAACTATGGTGTACTATCTAATTCCTGTTTTATTTTTTCCGCTTTTCTCCTAAATTATAATAATAGCTTCCTTAACATTCGGAAGCAATGGGTATCTATTAGAGAATGCAGCGTGCAGCGCTAAATTTTGTTGGAATTTCCTGAAATCTCAAAACAAATGAAACACATTAACCAAAGATTACGAATCCTAAGCCTTATCATCGACCAAAAACCATAAGTTTTGAGAAACTTGACACAAAAAAACTAACTTCACCGTGATGATAAGCAGACATTTCACCCACAGCACCAGCTAATTGAGCTACTTTCACCTCTTTCTTATCTGCCCGTTTAAAGCACGTAAACAAAACCTTAAAAAAGTAAATATTCCAAGTCACTGAAAATTATGATAATAAGACTATATAAGTAATCAAGTGAAGAATTAAATTGAAGCTCATATAATCTGAAATTAGAACCCATTTAAAGAACTTACTACAACTTTAATGTGGACATCATATAAATACTGTATTTACCTTTCGCTGTCCAGGTTTCAAACCATCCACCAAACTTGGAATCGACCTTTCGTTATCACAATTCGAAAAAAGGACAAGCTCCTTATTGACGAAATCTTTAAACGAAACAACGTAGGTGTTTTTATCATACAAATATTCCTCCGTTAAACCATCCTCTCGACGATTTCTTCGTTCCTGAACATGTAAGACCATTGAATTGCTCTTAAAATCCTCTTTCTACAGCAGTTAACCACAGCTTCTCAGGCGTCGGAAAGATTACAACATGCTACAAATGATACTCCTTAAATATTTTTCATTGAATGATAGCTTATCTAGCAAGAAAAGTTATCATTCTAACAACTTTTAAACGGAGACCAATAAACAAAACATACAGCCATCCAATTTGTAAGCCATATTTTCCGTTCTTCAACCTTTTTCTTGCTAAAAGCCATATCTAATGCCTGATCATCTTCTTCACCACTATATTTGAATTGTATTCTATGCCTTCGCATATCCATAAAATATTCCTTGGCTTCTTTCGATGTAGAAGTACCCAAACCTGTAAAAAGGCTGCTCACAAGAGAATGAAGACATTAGCTGTTACCTTTCGTACTTGGAGGGGATCTGAAATGAAAAAGAAAATTTTCGAAATTTGAATATCTTTCAGTTTCACTATGCACTGAACATACCTTTGTAATATTTAATCCGATACGTTTTCCAATTTTCTGTATTGTTAAGCCATTCTCTGTATTCTGGTAATGAAAAAAATGAAATCTCTTCCTTGCCTTTCGTTGCCTGTAATTTGATAAATGAGCAGGATTTTACATCTTGCTTTATTAATGTGAAATTCAACACTCTAAGATCTCAGACCTTGACAATTGGAGTAATGAATTCCTCAACGAAATTTCGCCTAACCAATGCTGGCCAATTATAATGTATGAAATTGATAACCAGTCCCTTGATATGTGAACCATCTTGATCCTGAAGTAATATATTCGGTTTACTACTAAGTTAGTTGTTGACAAGTATACGATGACGCAAAAAAGTTACAGTGATATTTTTGCTTCATCAACCCTTCTTTTTAAAAAACTTTCGGTCCTCAAAGCAATCTTAGCCCGGTAAACTTGTCCATATCAACATGCTAGCATACTAGCATATAAAACATCACTAACTTTGAAGATCAAAAAAAAACTGGAAATATGCCATAATCATATCAACGGCTTTCCATCTGGCAGAAATAATTTATTCTATCCAAAAAAATGACATCAATTAAAAATTTGACCATTTCAATGGTCTTCCATTGTCATTATTTTCTAGAAAAGAATCTGACTATAAAAAAATTTCATTTGAATAGAATGTTTTTTGATAACAAAACTTTTCAGAAAATTTACGTGACTCCATAGAACAAACCTGATCGGCCATAACCATAACTTTGCCATATCGTAGAGTTTTCATATCTTCGTCTTTGTCATATTTTAAACGATATTGCAAACCAATAATTTTCAGAAGAGCGTTCACTTCAGCGTTTTCCATTATCTGGAAAAATTTATTCATATATTGAAAAATAAAATTTTGATGTATGTTTCATGAAGTATTTGACAATATTTCTTCCTTTAATCTAACCGATTACCTGCTTATGATTGCCTTCTCGAACATTAAGCATTTTACCACGAAGAGGGAACACACCGTACTTATCACGTCCAACAACACCGAGACCTGAAACAGCCAACGATTTGGCTGAATCACCTTCCGTAAGAATAAGCGTACACTGTGCCGAATTTTTCGTACCAGCATCGTTAGCGTCTTCCAGTTTTGGCACACCCTAAATGAGCTAATTTTAATTTTGTTTCAGTAAAAATAAAACCGAATGGTAAAAAGAGATAGAATAAAAGGACCGATTCATCATTTTACAACAGTATCCATCTTAATTAAAAATAACTTTCTACTTTTCGCATCTAAAAATAACATGCCTTTAATTTGCTGGTCTTTTTAGACGAACACTTCTTATCTAATGTTTCCTGTTGCTTGAATCGCACCCATGCCATAATTGCTTCCACAATTCCGCATTTCATTGCTGCTTGAATAAATTTCTCGGAAAGCTCACATGTTGAACCAAAACTTTTCGACTGCAACGTCATCGTTTCCTTTGTTTGAGAATCAAATGTTGGATTTTCGATAAGTGCATTAACAAATATCCACATGTGATTCTTGATCTGAAATATACAGAAAAACCCATGGCTGTTTAACTATTGAGTATAAAATGCATATGGTAAAACGACTTACTAAAAAGGATTATTAGAAATAATCGTCATAAACTCATTTCTTCTAGATAATTTATTGGCATCAATTTCCGGGCTCTACACCAAAAAAAATAGTCTTTTTTTTTATTTCCTTGAATAAATAAAAGCTAGCTATAAAAATCACCAGAAGCTAGAATTACCTGAAAGGGCTTTACATTAATGCCGCCGCTTTTGCCAATTTTCTTTTTGATTACATCAATTAATTTGCTCGCAATCTGATCCACAACGTAATCAACGTGACGACCTCCCTAGAAATTGAGTAAGAATTAAACAGAGTATCTCCTTTTCTTTCATTTTTTTATTGAGATATCTTCTTAATATGAAATTTAAAAATAAAAGTGAAGGATGAGTTAAAAAGGGTGAAAGACATATTACGAAGCATTAAATGCAGAAAAGATCAATATTTTAATCATTTCCAAAAACTGACTATCTGTATTAGAAGAAAAATAAATACCTTTGTAGTGGCGATACTGTTTGTAAATGAGACTTGCTGAAAGCCTTTATCTGAAATTGTAAGTGCCACTTCCCAACGTGGGCTAACTGATTCATAAACTACTTTATACGCTTCACCATTACTGTCGACATTGTGTTTCACGTACTGCTCTATATACTGCTTGAAGCCTTGCACCTAGATTTTGATAAAAATGTGCCTTATGCATTTTAAACCATAAGAGAACCTAAAATATAGATCGCCTACGAATTAGGAAGAAAAGAATTTCGAAGTAGATAGGTCTCCTATTAATATTCTTATGAAAGTAAGAATATTATTCATTTAATGGAAATGATGGGATAAATACTAAGCAAATAGAACTCGCAAAACATTTTCAGAAACATACAGGAATCTGTTTATTGTTAAGGAAGACTTTTACACCACGTGTTGAACCAGCAATATCATAAGCCCTGCGACACATTAGTGCCACAATATCATCATCCAATTCAGTCATTTTAAACTTCGCCAAATCTGGCCTGAACGTTACACGCGTAAAATCTTCTTTGCTGCTGGTCGTTATCTTTGGTTCTCCATCTTTTGACATATTATTAACCCACGTCTAAAATTCAAAAAAAAAAAATATATATATATATATATATCGCTTAAATTAACATGAGTTTCGGATCTCGAACTCAGTTTGGATGGTGATTTGAAACAAAAGATTTAAAGACCTGTTTGAAAGCTTTTCCATATTCATTGGTAGAAGTTTCTAGCGTGAATTCTTTACTAAATATATTACAAAGTTTTGCACCATAACCATTCCGACCACCTATAATATAAATTCGAAAAAAAAAAAAAAAAAAAAAACATAAATTATAAACAATAACTGCATGCAACTCTTTGTATATTAGATTTTCACTTGTCGTATTTTTAACATTACTATTGAAGATTTTTGGGAATAGAAAACATTTCTGTGCCATAATAAAAATTTTTATACTCTAAAACGTGAAATAGATTGGCTTAGCAATCTGATCTATCTCATTGACAAATGAATACTCACCTTATTGGTTGTGAAAAAAATTAAAAATCTACCTGTAACTTTCCGCTCGCTATCGTCATAATTTGACGATGTAAGTAGGGTACCAAATATAAGTTCAGGAACGTACAATTTTTCAATTTTATGTAAAACAACTGGAATACCCCTGCCATTGTTGTATATACTAATTTCATTTTTCTCTCTGAAAATGCCCAAGATTACTTTATCAATTATCAATAAATAAGTTATCGCGTTGAATTCTAGTTCAGCTTAAGGATCAAGATTCAGATAGCTCTAAGTTCTTTCTCAAAACATCAAAAGATATGTTGCCAAGCAACATCACCAGTATTTACTTCTCATTTATTAAATATTTTGATTAAAAAATCAATATGACACTACAATAACTGAAAAAAAAAAAGTTAAATAATAAGAACTGGTCAATAATTACTATCAAAACTGCTGAATATTTATTACCGCTTATTTTTTTCAATATATTTTATAATCCCAATCACTTTATCACTCTAGATGAAATGATAAGGATAGGAATCAATAAAAGTTTGGAGTGATTACCAACATACTTGTTAATATTGACTTTAATAAGATTCATTTTCGGATCACGTTGCTTGTTATCAGCAGCATTCACCAATATTTCATCGAATATCTTGTACAAACCCGGCACATATGAGATTTCACGTTGAAGTATTCGATCAGTTTCAGTATCGTATACCCACATTGGCTATAGTTTTCGATAACTGCTTTTGCATTTATTAAAAATTTAGAAGTTTAAATTTATTGAAGATGAGTAAAAATGAATTCACACCGACATACCAATTTTTAAAATCTATTTGGTAACTCAGCACTCCTGGAAAACTTTTCTGGACGACTGGTTCTTTTTTGAAGACAAACAAGACCAATGACGAGTAAACAAAAGTAATACACTTACAGTTCGATCCGTATATTCCACGGAACCGATATATGTATCCGGTCGTAGCAGGATATGTTCAAGTTGTGATTTCTTCTGGTATATTTTTTCAATGCTTAGTCGTTTCCCTTTATTTTCCTTCTCTTCCTTTTCTAAATCCATAAAAACATCCATTGGATCTTCTGCAGCTGTTTCTGCTGCTGTAAAGAGAAATGAAATGATATAGAAATTGAAGTTTAGCAAAGTTTGTTTTAATATAGAAATTGAAGCTTAGCAAAAAAAGCTTTAATTATGTTCATTGTGAGAGCAGAATGAACTGATATCATGTGCAACTTACATGGTTTTTCAGCTTTTTTCTTTTCAGCAGGTTTTACTCTCTTAACGGATGTCTTTTTACTTAATTTTGGTGATGATGGCGGTAAGGCGAATGAATCGTCATCCAAATCAATTGACTGAAACGAAAAGTGCTTTATTTTACAAAAGTTAAAAACTGGCTTACAGACAATAGATACATTATTTGTATTCTAGAATATTTCAGTAAGAGTAAATGCTAGAAACTAACAATCCACGCCACATCTAGAAGCCTTAGGATAAATTGGTTTTAAAAATAACACCTCAAAAGGTTAACATTAGGGAAACAAAAAAAGTCGCATAAATCATCAGAATTAATTTCGACAATTTTCAGGAATAACTAACAATGATTTCTGATGAGTCGCACATTTTCCAGTGAAACCTACTTACTTATAGTAGTCCTTGAAAACTTTTTATTTCCAAAATACCTGAAAATAAATAATTAAGAAAAATTTTAAACCTAAATGTTGCTCACTCTTCTGACAAAGAATCCTACCTCTGAAGTAAAGGTATGAAGCTAATGACTGGAGCGCGGAAACGTGAAGCGTTTAAAAGCTTTGCATGAAGTTAAATACTATGTACTTATTTCTTATCAGTTAAGTACTCTGATACTTAGAGTTTTTAAGCATGTCAAAAATTCACTGTGTTTGAAGCAATATGCAGTACTGACTTCAGATAAATGCACGGTTAAAATTCCTAACAAAACGAAAGAGCAATAAAATTAAAATTTGTATGAAATGCTGATTAATTTACGGTAATTTAAATTCCAACAAGAAGAAATTAATGATGACAATTTTTCAATTATCGATTAAATAAAACTTCGCAGTCAAATTAAGCTGAATGATTAAAAGAAAATAGCAATTATGAATGTTCATTTCGAAGCTATATGGAAGTTCCTTGAGTTGTACTAAAACTCTCAACATTCCTTTAAAACTACGTAAGAAACAACTTTACATTTCTCGGAAAAATTAAGGTATCATACGAGAGCTCACGCCACCATAAACAAAGCAGCGTGAAATTGATTAATCAAACCAAACCAAGCACACGGTAATAGATATTAAAACGTATTAGGAATGAAGAAATTTCGTCCAAAGTATAATCTTGAATATAATATATATATGCAGGGAACCCGAGACATTTTTAAAACCATCCTTCCGAATTATATTTTTCAACAGATTTCAAAAATTTTAAATCGATCATTAAAGAAATATCGCTTATACAACTAGGTACGTAATAAATATCAGTGATATTAAGTTGTTAGCAATTTGAATCAAAAATTTTGTTCTATAAGTTTAGCAATAATATCAATCATTTGAAGTATCTATATTAATTTCTTGCATCAATAACAGTACTAGCATCAGCAACACCTTTCGACACTAATGTTTGGCAATATTTGATAAAGTCAACGCTTAAGTTCGGTTAACTTATTCTTTTTATTGTGTTAAAGAGAAATTTATCCTTACTCATCACGGCATACAATATAACCTACAAACTTTCATCATTTCTCATAAGTGACCGTTCAAACTGACAATTTTCCTATCTCAACATATCTATACAAATTTTTAGAAAATTGTAATCACTTCTGCATGCCAAATGAATGGGAAATGTGAATTGCTTGGAGCAAGACCAAAAAAGCAGGTATTCACAAACAGAAAAGAACCAAACTGACAAAGTGAAATTGGAAAATTTTGATGTTGTTGTAAGCTTTTGAAAATTTTCAAAATGTGCTAACAATTTCAATATATATATATATATATATATATATATATATATATATATATATATAAATATTTATTTTCCAACTGTATTTCGTAATAATCTCAAATTAAAAAAAATAAAAATAAAATCCATACATAAAAGAAAATAAAAAAATAAAAATAAAATCTAATATGTACCTAATAATTATTTCCGACAATAAAATGCCACGGCCATGGATTTATGTCAAATAATGTAATGGATAAAATATCAATTTATGCTCACATCGACCAACCAAATAATAAATAACTGCATTATATATTATTCCTTAGGACCCTCAGAGACGCCCCAAATAACGTCACTCCGATTCCTTCCTATTTGAACAAATCAAATCTCCCGCCAAGCAAACAATCGTTATGAGAACCACGGCTATTTCTATAGCTTGGCAAGACTATTTGAATTCAAATTAATTTACGGACGACTTAAAATTAATTTGAAATTAACTAACAAACAATGTGAAACTATTATAAAGTGAAAAATGAAGAATACACTAGTATTTACAAAATATACCTACCAATATTTACAAAAAGATAACTGACATCAAATCTTACATTGCTACAATTTTCAACAAGTAAACAACTTGCAATGAATTCCACAAAACTGATAGCATAAACTGAAAAAAAGAGAATAAAAAAAGTGATATGTTAGAAATATCCTCTCATTCAAATTTTGCTTCTTCTATTCAGGTATTCTTCCTAAACTACTTTCCCGTTTTATTTCTTTTTTCATTTCTTCAATAACTCATCTTGGGTATGTTTTCTTTTGATAAACTCTAACCAACCAAATTTCTTTTCATTCTATTAACTTTTTATAGTTATTTTCTACTTCCTTACAAAACGAAAAAGGGACTTTCGAGCTTAATAACTTAATCTAATCTACTATTGTGAATGGGAGACAACACCCTACCCAATATAAAATGTATTGAAAAAATTACAAAAACATGAATAAATGAAAAAACAAATGGGTTATTACAACATTTAAAATCTTCTTAAAATAAATCGAAGAATTCGAAAACGTACAACCAATCGGCGTACTATAGTACGACAAAAGATGACAATTATAATAAAGAAAATAATGACCCACAGCAAAAAGCCATAGTTTTGCTGATTTAAATCTAGCTGATGCGTTTGTTCAATATCATTTTCTACATTCGCATCGAAGAATTGGATGATTTCATGAAGCTGTAAAGATTATAGGATCAAAAATCCGAATTTTTAAAAATGATACCTTAGATCTGTAATGTGAAACATAAATAAATAAATGATAACCTGCGCAGAAGTTAACTCATTCGAAAACTTATTCCCGTCTGGTAAATCTGAACGATCATCCTTCAAATGATTGCCACTTAAATCTCTGAAACAATATATGTATAAAATTAATATATGAATTGGGCAAATTCATAAAGGAGTAGATGAACAATATCTTTTGGATTCATATGTTTTTATTTATGTTAAATTCGCTTATTTAATTCTATCAAAAAATCATCAAAAATTCATATTAACTCGGTTACTGCGAAAAAATTTTGATTTGTTAATTTAAAATTTCTATTTCTTCACCAGTGCTTCCTTTTAAATGCTCCATGCTTTGACGAACGGCAGCACCATTAGGAAAAGTACTTGCATCACCCAAGCAAGTCTTCTCAAGTAATTTGCTCACATATTTATTTAATATGGTTTTTTAAAAGAATCAAATAAGACTTTGATTAGCACTTACGACGAAAGGGTGACGTTGGCGACCGGTTGTGAAATAGCATCCCACAAAATCCGACATTTAGGATCTTCTCGATATACTGGTTCAGCATCTGCCGAGATGCCCATTATAACCTATAACAGTTTTTGGTAGCAGATTATATTACGATAGTTCATTATCTCACCTTTTTAATTTCTCTAGGAGAAAAAGTGAGTATTCAATCAAATTCTAAGAAATTTTTATGACATTCACCAAAGTTATTATTCAAGAAAAAAAAAGACTTTAACTTGCATCTCAGGTATGAAAAGTTAACTTTCTCCTTACTTTCGAATATTTAGCGAAGTTCGAAGTTGTCAATCTTTTTGGAAGTGGTAAATTCTGCGAATGCTTCAAAGATAATACGGTACCAGCCTGTAAATAAGAAAATGACTTCAAAAACTATTCCGAAGGCATTCGTTGACTGAAACAGATGACGAAGATTAGTGTTTAATAATAGGTTCATTAAATGTCTGATCTACTAACCAAAGTTGAAGTCAAATTTTTCTTGAAATAAACTCAGTGAACTACACCTTTTTATCTAGGTTCATATTCAAATTAACCAGGACCATTAAGTAGGAGGTACAAGAGAGGAGAAACAGCAAGTTAAAAAAAAAACAGTGAATTATGTGCGAAGCAAAAAAGAAATGCAAATGCGTTTTAATTTATAAACAATAGCATTGTTAATATATATCTTATCTGTCTATATTTACGAGTTCCTCTTAGTATTCTAGAACATATAATGTAGCTCGGTAAAATCTTCCAATTAGTCATTTTCTAATATAGCAATGACGACGAAACGATATTATATGAATAAAAAACAACAATAAAAATACTAACAGGTACAAGTGACTGACGCAAACTTTCGATCAGATCACCTTCCAAAGCACTTTCAAGAAGCGCTTCTAATAAAAAGATACAACTCTTTGTATCCGATGTTGTGCCAACTTCAAGGCATGAGCTATCACCAAAAATTGCCACAAAGCCAGACCTAAACGTTATTAAAATATTAAAAAAATTCTAGAGACTTAAAGGGCAAGAACAGAGAGTAAGAAAAAATACAGCTTAACCTCGACATATATTAATAGAATATGTACTTCTAACTGAAAATTCCTACTGTCAAATTTTATTATGATATTATTATGATCTATAAAATAATTGTGCCTGATTTATTTATCTAATCAAATCTAGCAGGAAAAAAAGAAGTTCAGAACACAAAGAAGAAGAAGAAGATTCTATTTATGTTATTGATGTGTTGAAACCTTTGGAACTTGGCTCAACTCTTCAACTTAAAATAAGCACAATATTCCACAGTTTATCTACCACTTGAAATCTAGTTAGAATCTACCTTGATATGCCTCACGACATATGTGAATGCTTTCTTGGCTGTTTTACCGTATATAAATATTCCATATCATAGATTACCACATATTATCCCATATAAATAAACAATCCAGAGAATAATGAAATAAAACTTTGGAAAAATTTGTTGTTGAACTCTCAAGAGTAAAGCAATCTCACCATTTCAAGTTTATAAAATAAGCTCAGATAAGTGGTAAAACTGATTAAATGCAATGCTAAGAAGCCTTTTGAAGTGAATCAGACTCGAACTTACTTTTTTGATAAAGTATTATTTTTATAGTACAGGAAAATAGCTTCTTTATATAGCTGGTCAGTTTTTCTTTCTGATATCATTTCTTCACCCTAAAAGAAGTAATCTTACACTATCAAAATTTGACCTGCCTAAAACATTACGATATGCTTCTAATACCAATTTTTCCGAGATCTTTCCTAAAACTTCTAAAATGTCACAGTAAGGTAAAATCTTCAAAATAACCCACCAAATCGGTTAAATCTGATAACGCAATGAAAGCATGAGGTGGGGCATAAGATATTGATGTTCCTGACAGATATTTCACTGGTGTTTGCCCTACAACAGCAATACCATCCAGAACCTGCAAATCAGTTTTCTTTCTCTCAAACGAAGCAAAAAACGAAATTTTAATGCCTTAAGTAAAGATGAGAAAAAAAAACCAATTAAGGTTATCCGTCTTTGTGGTTACAAGCAACTAATTTAAAGCTAAAACGTAATTGCTAGTAAATACTTTTTTTCTCGATTTTATGCCGAACATGATCTTCCAAGATAAAAGAGAATCTTACATGAGCGCTTAATGAAATATTCCATTTCTTAAGAAGATCATTTAAAGCTGGTAAATTCGTCCCACCTGTTTCTGGTTCCCACCATTCTCTGAAAGTTTAATTAATTTATCGTTAATACAGAATCGTTTCCTACGAAAGTTTAATATTAGTGAAAGCTATTTGTATGCTTGAAAATTACAAATTTTTGCACGTGTTCTCGAAATCATGCAAGCAAATTCTCTGACAGTACAATGCTATTCCGAAAAAAATTTCAACTGCTAATTATCAGATTATACCGTAAAAATCTCCATGACTTGTTCGATATCAATGATACGATATCTTTGTGAATCAAAATTCCTCAATTCAACTCAAAATATATATAAAATTAACATACTTAGTGTTTTCATCCATAAATCGAATTTTGTCAATTACAGATGTATTGTACCAATCCGCAAAAATAATCAAATTCAGATTAGCGTTATTTACTTCATTATAAAGCTTTTGTTTTTCACTAGGGAAAAATTCATCCTCCGGATCAACAATTAAAAAAGCTGAATACTGGCTTAGATCCACACAGGTTAGAGGTTCGCCCAATACCTCAAAAATTGGCATGGTTTAAATTGACACGTAATTAAACCACCATTTAAAATATATATCACTTTTGTTCCACATACAAACACACAGCACCGCTAAATCAATTAATTTAAAATTTAAAAACTAAATTAAAATTCTCATTCATAAAGTACCTCAATGTAGTAACCACTGCTGCGAAGATGTTGATAGAGAGGTTTGAAATTAGTATGTGGATGGTCGGCATTCCAGTCTAATATATTCGTTTTATCACGTAAATCATCACGTGGAAAATATCCCGGTGGATAACGAATGTTTCGATACTGATCCCACAGCAACCGTTGGCTATAATGTTTCATTCTTGACTTTTCTGCTTCCCTAATTTACATTAAAATACTGTCTTCTCCCATCCTTCTTTAGCATTTCCTTTTGTTACTGTAGTGCTTTCAGTTCATACCTGATTTTAATCTTAACTTCATTCATTCAGTCCAATAAATGAGTAGTTAAATTTCAAAATAAACCTAACTATTGGTACGATGAAACATAAAGTTTTAAAAATCACCTCCTTGGAGGCGTTGGGATGATTCGAACTCGGATTGGAAAAGCTGCTGTTGAATACTTTTGCCCGCCTCGTTCTTCGGACTGCAATAAAACTTAATTTTTTAATTTTTCAAGAAATAAGAAAAAAAAAAAAAAAAAAAAAAACGGCACATGCATATGTGGTATAAAAAGGCAAAATTCAAATGCTCTCTAAAAATGTCTGTAACTAAGATTCATGCTTAATATTTTATCGATCGTGCTTCTAATTTGAGATTCCAAAAAAGATTCAGTTGCACTAAGATCAATTAAAAGTTCTGCAAAATAAAGCACACAAATTTACCACCACTGTAACAGTAATTCGTCCACTTGCAGTTCCATCATAATTACAACCATTTGGTACAACACTTACTGCAACTGCCATATAACCAGACCATGGCCATAAGAGATCAGAATATATTATTGAAACATTCAGCAAATCACCTTTTTCTTCCAGAAATGGCTCCCACATTGGCTAAATAATTTATTTCGTTATTTGCTAAAATGCTACATTTAATTCCGTTTAAATAGTACACATACCTCCGCCACTATTCGGCCAGATACACTCATCCCATTCACGATCGTAACCTGCAATTTTGTACGACATTGTAGTCATGGCGGTAGTTTTGAATTAATTTAGTAAGCTTTATTTCTCAACAGCAAAACTACTGTAAATAACCGTATAAAATATATGCATTATATGGCATCTTCCTGTATCGAATAACTTACATTAATGAAAGTCGGTATACCAGATGCATAAAGTGGCTGACTACAATATGGCCACATATAAGGACATTCATTGAAATCAATATACGGTGGAATGAAACTAAAATGATGTAACTGTCTTCTTAAATTATTTTATTTATAAAAGAAAAAAAAAAAAAACCTTTTAACTCTTAGCCTTATATGATACCCGGATGAAAAAATTTGCTGTCTTTTTCAATGCATGTTAAATTCAAAAAGGTACCAGTAAAATTTGGCATACTGCATTGATTCATATATGCCCTACACTTATAGTTTTTTTTTTTTTCGCTGAAAGAAAGGAGTTCAGCAAAAAGTTATCAATCTTTACAAATTAATACAATTATAAAGGTTACAGTATGATATACTTACATTTAGCTCATTATTTAATTTAAAATAGCCTAAATTCAGCCATGCATTAATTTAGAATATATGAAACGAAACAAAATTATCACGTGATTCGTGGAGAATATCGTCGCATGAACTGGAATGATGCAACAATGTTCATTTTACCAGCACCTTGTTCAAACATTGTTGCCACATTGGGAAGTCTGGTTGCACCCTCCACTAATGCCTGCTTTACAACTGCGGGATTCCATAAACGTTTATCTTCTATACCGCTGCAAATCTAATGAAAGCTAATCAATCAAAAAATTTTCAAGTGTCCATGTCCCATATTAGATTCTACTTGGAATTACTTAATTTCGAGATCCTCAAAAATTATTTTTTTCTGAACATAAATTTCTCCGACTTAAGAAAAAAAATATCCATCTTTTTGAAAACCATTTACGAAAAAAATAGTCCCTCATATAACAACTTACCTTAGCATTACAGCTACCGCTCCAGCAACTACTGGTGATGCAACAGACGTACCAGAAAGAGCACGGCAATTCCCATCTAACGCAGAACCATAGACTGAGGAACCGTAAGTAACTATATCCGGTTTAACTCGTCCATAACCACCTGCAGAAAACAAGAATTCTGTACATCGAATGAGTTTCTATTATTCAAAGCTTTAGAATGATTTTTTACGGGAAATCACCTCACCTGGTAGTTCCCAAGTGGTCATTCCACGTGAAGAAAAACGTGCAATTTTAGAATCAACATTTATACCACCAACACCAATAACATCCATTTGATCTGCTGGATTGTTCAAAGTGCTGAGAAATAACTTCTTAATGAGGAGTAAGAAAATAAACAAGCTTCCATTACATTCTCACTCCATATCATATTTATGCCAAAGTTTTAAGATTTGTCCGATATTTGTTCTATTCCATCTTTCAATTAAAAAAATTGGACATTCTTCCATCAAAAAGCTTAAAAAGTCTTACCCGAATTTTGGTCCATCATTTCCAATTGCTGAAATGAGAATAATTCCATTTGCGGTAAGTTCCCATACCTTATCCATAAATGGAACATCAGTAAAATCCGGACCACCAATGCTGGAAACAGTCAAATTATTGTTCATTTTACTTCATATTATTATTTCCAAATACATTTTGGAACTTTAATACAAAATCAAAGACTTTTTTTCAAATTCCACTTTACTTTTTTCATTCTATTCAACGACACATGGAATTACCTAAGATTCAGAACATTTATGCCTCGTAATATGGCATGGTTGAAAGCATCAAGAAACCATGAAGTAAATGAAACCTGAAACCAGACACTGCATATAAAATCTTGTAAAAGTTCTTTGTTGACATGAATTTTTTTGATAAGCAGGACAATTATCAGGCAAGTATATAAATTTATAGCTGTTTTAACTAAAGAAAAGTTAGCAGTTAATGAGAATGCAACATAAAAAACTATCTGGCAAGCTTAAACATTTACAAATGCATCAAATAATAAGCATTTAATAAGCACATTCATAAAACAATTTGATCCATTGATTTCGGAGGAATCCTAAAACTAACTTGTTTCTTTGTAAAGACTTTATAAGCATAAATGCTAGCAGCAGGAGCAAATCCAACACATCTATGATCTGAACTTGCAATTAGGCCAGCAACAAAAGTACCATGCCCAAGGCCTAAATTGTAACAAATTGTTTAAACCATTTTATTTTAAACTCATGAAAAAAAAAAAAAAAAAAAAAAAAAAGGATAACATTTGCTATAATCACCATCATCAGCAGTTTTCTCGTTTGTCCAGTCAGTACGTTCGACGATTTGTCGGAAATGTGGATGATGTTTACCAAGGCCTGTATCAAAAACTGCAACCTTTACACCTTGCCCTAAAACATTTTGCCACTAAGATCTAGTAATACTACTAAAAATATTTTACTACTACGAACTACTGAAATTAGCATAGTTTCTCTACTCACATATGAAACGCCTAATTTGTAACATATTCCAGTATTACAGAAATCATCAAGCTTGTCTTAATTACTAAAATCAGCAGGTTTACTATCACGGAGACCTGCTCCATCATGAACGTACTGCTATCGACGTTATTGATTTTATAAGACATTTAGAGTTCGTATATTCTGAATAAACGCACAACAGCAAAACTAATCATTAAAAAAAAACCATCATTATATATATTCTTATCTGCAGATCACACAAAAAATTTAAAACTTTATTTAAAAAATATAAAAGCTCGAAAAGCTTAAAAACACCTTTATATCCCATATCCCATAGCTTATCAACATCAAGTAGCTTAGTAACATGATGAATTTCAATATCACCAGAATATCTTCGACTTAATAATTGTTTTTTAGGTAATGTTGCCGTGAAACGATTATTGCTTGCAACACGTTTTGTATGAATGGACTGTTGCACTAACTGTACAAAGGTTGTTGAATTCCATGTTGATACCTAAATGTTTGCATCAGCATGAAGTTAGTCAAAAAGTAATAATGCTTTCAACTAATTTCAAGCTGATTATTCTTCTCGGATCTTATTCACCATTTAACAATTTATGTATAAATCTGAAATGCTTATGAATTCAAATTAATTTTAAAGCAGCTAAAATTGAAAATATTTACAAATATAAAAAAAAAATGTAGAAAAAAAAGTGCTACCTCGACAACATCAAAATCGCTCAATAAAATAGGCCTAGGTTCGACATTTACCGTTATTTCTGTTGCTTGCTTAATTATGTCATAACGAATGTTCGCTGTATAATAACCATCATATGTTACGATGTATGCTGTAATTTTAAATCGTTGAATCAATATTCGAGGGAAAATGCATTGAAATACTTAAATGATTATTCAAACCCCAAAATTCAATTCTTGAAACACTTAACGATAAGCATGGTACAATTATTTTTTTACAATTGGATTCGATCATTAATCAGAATTCTCTTGGAACTTTCTTATTTATCCATTCTCATGTTTGGTTTGTTAGGCAGATTGTTAGATCACCAATATTTACTCAAAAAAGAAGAAAATTATTCAATTTGAACAGCCTAACAATACTATTCAACTCGACTCTATACTACTTTTTCTTTTTTCGCCCTTTTTTTTAATAGAATTATAATCCAATGCACTAAAAAAAAAAAGGACTCAGACATAAAATAATAAACGAACATGCTGACTCGATAATCGAACACGATGAGAGGATAAAATGATTATGAATGGAAATTAGTATGATGCATGATGCAATCCAACAAGTAAACATCAATTTCTATTTTCAAAATAAAATTGTTCGTTTTTTTTTCTCTTCGTTATCATTGACCTTAATCAATTCCTTTGCTCCAGTACTTCGATACTGAGATTCAACCACAATTCTGAAGTTATAATTTAAAGTAGTTATTTCGTTTAACCAAATAATCATGGAAAAACATTGCTGTTAACTGAAAAAAAAAACTGAATAGATTCCCTTGATTCAGATGTTGAGCTGACTGTTTTATGCAAAACCTGTTATATTACCTAATAAATTTTTACGTACAAATTTCCAGACTTGGAAGCAATTAACGGTAGATTGGTCTTGATAACAAAGTCTTTACACGTTTCAGATCTATATTAACAATACTGATAATTCTTAGGTTTGAAATATAGAAGTCAGTTTTTCCTATCATTATCACTACTAACTATATTACTGTTATCATTTCCAAATATCATCTAAAGTAAATATCCCATAAATGTTCACAACCATCTCTTAGTGCCAAATATCCATAACATAAATTGTTGATGACCGTCTAGCATTCCTTTCCATTCCACATATGTTTCTCTCGACAAAATATTCCCGAACTTTTATGGTCTATTTATACAAAAAAACATATATACAAAAAAAAAAAAAAAAATGAGCTTTAACTTTACTTTCTTTTTCCATTGCAACATCTAATCTTTTCCGGATAAACAACATTTGGCTATTACTATTTTGAATAAACAACGCTTGGTTGCTATCCAACATGAAACAGTGTGGGAAACAGAATACACGCATTTTATTGAGGTTGAACGAAATGAACACGCAAACATACTACACACCCACATATGCTTATGTACATACGTACATACACATATACACACACAAACACACACGTAAATAAATATAGATTATATACATACAATGATAAATAAAATCCTGAGAAATCTGAAAGAATATTTTGAAAAACTAGTCCATATTCATACGAATATACAATTATCGTTTTGCTGTATCGTTTTCTTTCCCTTTTTTTCTCTCTCTCTTCTGCCATGGCAAGCAAACAAAAGATGTTCCAGAACTTAGGAAATTTTAACTGGACATTCATTGCAGCATTGTTGTGACTCGTTAACATCAACGATCCAAATATCGTCAGAAGATGAATTCCCGAAGTTTCCATAGGTAAAGAAGATAATGATTTAATGTACTCCAATGACAGGCCATTGAAAACCTGCCTACCAAAGATTCGAATAAATAAATTCCACTAATGGCTAACAAATGAATTCACAAGGCAGTAGAAGTCACGGCAAAATGAAACAGAGTATAATTCGAATGACAGCTGATGTCATGTAGTTCAACACACATAAAATGCATGAGTAAATCAAGCATTTTTCCAATTTAGAGAAAATAGCAGCCAAAATGAAAAGAAAAAACCAACGGCATATAAAATTCATGAAACACTACATGTTAGCAACAATGATAACCTAATCATATAAAAAATTTTGTCACCAAGTACTATACGCTAATAACAATGATAGCCTATATCAAGAAGGAAAATGAATATCAGGGAATAATTTAGCTTCCGCTGCTTAAGCAAATTTTAGGTCAGCAAATTAGTATAAAAATGGTCTCAGATAAACTAACCAAACTTCACATTTGCATTCTCTCTATCCATATAACGGACTAAAAAAAGACCACAATATGCAAATGGTACTGTTAAATGTCCCAATGAAAAACGAAAGTGAGCAGAAATTTAAGCCTAATAATATGGGTGACTGAACTAACAAGAGGATGAGGATATATTCTACTGCAAACATTCTTCACAAATTCAAATTTGCAGAAAACATTTAATACTTCAAGAAAAATCAGCAAACCACAAATAACCAAAAATATTCCTGAAGCACTGTTTTTTTTCTAAAATCATACTCTAAATCAAGCATAGTAATTCCATATATGCGGACGAAACTGATAAAAACAAAACAAAATAAAAAAAAAAAAATCATGTTTCATGGGTAGCGACTTCATTATCCTTCCCTGAAGATTTAGACATACTTCATTTGCCGATGCAATGTTCGTTCAGAATTTGTGACATTGCCGCATGTATGACATCTGGACATGATACAAAACAGCAACGACTTTCGTCACCAATAACTTGTTTAACTTCCTCACGCAACGACATTTTTGCACCAACAAATATGGCCAAAACACCCTAAAATTTAAAAAAAAAAAAACATAAGCGGCTCATTTGAATCTTGCTTATATAGCTATATTTCCAGTAACTGACACACTCTAGTAAATGGTCAGCAGGTGCAGCACCATTACTGTAAGGCAAATCTGGAAGAAAATGAGGAAGAAATTCCTTTCAATACAGTCTACATTTTATTATTAGCAGTGATTTATGGGTTTAAAAACGACATTAAGATTAAACTCAAAGATTGAAAAATCCAATAGATTGCATTGCTTATTTTATCACTGCACAAACCCTTACATTTCTATTGCATTCTAATTGTGCTTTACATATGCTAGAATACTGGTAAACACCACAAATGCTATTAATAAAAATGAAGACAAATTCATTATTCAATTCTTTCAAAAATCATTCATATATAATGCACATATATTCAGCTCTATTTTTTAAGCTTTAATCAGCGTTTTTACGTTCCAAATATAAAAAAAAAAGATAATGAAAAAGAATCTTACATCCGGATTTTGTTTTACTGCTTGTCGAACCATTGGGATATCCGACAAAGTGTCGCCGCAAATCAAAATTTTCCCCGGTGACTGCAGTGAATCGCCTAAACTTTTTATCAAACGCTCTACACCATTGCCCTTATTCCATATTATTCCCGAATTGTGTGCAACTACTTCAACTTCTAATTCTGTGGATGGATCAAATACCAAAATCTGAAAAACGACGCCAGTCTGTATTTGTGTGGAAAAATCATGAGCTGAACTTTTGAAATTATTTGATGAAAAAATGAAAAGTAACAACGAATAGATAAGCATAAGCTATTCTGCGTATTAATTAAGTCCATCTTTGCTGCTTCATAAATATTTTCCACTTGGATTGGGATATCGAACTTCAAACAGCTAACCTGACTGTTAGGATCTACGCGATGCATCCGTTCTTTTACAGCCATTTGATATCTGTTGGATAATTCAGAAGTTACGTGATGGCAAACAGTTTGGACACCTAACGTTAATCTATCCACTTTTCGTTGCACACCACTTCCAACAAGTGCAAATGGAGCGTAATCGGAGGTATGCAACAAATCTTTCATCTGAAATGGTTTAATCAGCTTTATTGCCCCTTTACAATTCACAAAAACCAATGAACAACGTAAAATGATGAATAAACTGAACTGTAAGGAAGAACAGATAAAACTTTTTCTGTAACAAAAAAAAAGTTTCAGAAACTTAAAACAAAATCAGCTGTAAACCTCATCATCTAAACGCTGCAATGCGTTGAAACCTTCATCCGTAATACCATCTTGATGAACAACACGTTTTCCAGATAGCCACCATTCACGACCCCAAGAACCGCTGAACATTACAGGACCATCAATTGGCATGGCTGTTAGATCAAGTATACCGGGTCCACGCAGTGGTCCTGCTGTTAACACTGCGCTAATACGAGTAAAAGAAGCTGCGAATCGTGTCATTCCAACTGCACTATACACAGGCTATAAAATAGAATTTGAGAAAAAGAAAAGAAAGTTCGTAAATTAGAATCTCCTGAGCTCTAGATTCCGTAAGCTCTGAGTTAAAATTTCGTTACTCGCATCAATGCAATCTTTTCATCCTTCTTTATTTAGATGGAAAAATTAACGTTCGTGTATAATCACCAATCAAAATTTGTTCCAAAGAATTCTCCATTCACAACCATCTGCATAAACTGACTACAAGGTAAAATCAATGATTTCCTAAAAAATTACCTGAAGATTTGTTGCATATTGCGAACAATAGTCTTTCATTGTACCATCCCAATCCGTGATAAATATTGGTTTCTTACCGGTAATCGCTTCCGAACTAATAAATGTTTTGAGAAATCTAAAAGAAACATTATTTACTAAACTTCCTTTTCAGAAATAAGTCCCACCAAACAAAAGTTTAAAACATATAAGAAATAGCTTAGCATAAAAGACAACAAACAATACCAGAAACTTACTTCACAGTATCTTCATATTCCTTCAAAAATGTTTCTTTGCCTTTCGGGTGGTAATTTGCAAGGATTGAAAATAAATCAACTCGAGACATTATGATTGGCCACAATAAGTTTGGTTCTTCTCTTCGGATATTCATCAATGCGTCAAGATATTTCAAATCTTTCTGCAAATAAGATATCTCCCAGAGATTATATAACGCGCTGTTTGCGAAAGATGTTCTCATATTCGCGAAGTGACTTTTTTTTATTTTTGCAAATGATAAGAATATCTTTCTTTGCAAGTTTTAATAAATCACAGAGTATATTCCGAATAGAAATGTTGATAACTAAATAAAAAAAATCAACAATGATGCAATGAGAACTGAACAATTTAAAGCTATAACAGTTATAACATTTTAACACTTAAAAAATATATACTTCAAGGCCTCTTGTTTCATCTCCGATATTTACACTCAATTTTGTCGTAAGTGTACACATCTCACGTTGGAAAGAATGCGTCTGATTGTCAGTTAGCTTTTCATAAGCTCGTTTTAATATCTCAACATCATCCTTCGTCAAATCCTTTTCATTTAGCAATGCAAATACTATCGCACGTCGCGTTTCTTGCATCTGGAAGTGCGGATTACAACAATAACCGGTTATAAATATAAACACTGTCACTATATAAGAAGGTTCTCAAAATTCATCACTAAGCAAGTGTGTTGCTATCTGAAGAGTGAGCGATACTAAATCTTGGAAATCCTCCATAATTACCACCAAATTGCATGACTATTAAAGTGCTGACTGCAAAAAAGATGAACAGGATACATGAAACTTTGAAAAGCATGAAACCTTATACATGAGATTCTTAAAATCATCAACGGTTTGAACATTATCATTATCGATTACATCAGGTTGCCCCACTAATAATGATGAATTTTGCTCCGCGCTTTTATCAGTTCCTGAAGAGTATATTATTCACAGTTAAAGATAAATACTGCAAACCAAGATCTGACTGATTTGGTAAGTACGCGCTCACAAGAACAAAAATTAATCTTCAGTTACTTGCCAAATAATGTTGAAGGAAAATTTAACTCGTCTTCTTCTAACCTTCTCCTAATCCAGCCTTTCCGTCTTCATCACCCATTCATTACAACAACTGTTGCGGTCTAGATATCACATCTTTAAATTAGCTATTTTCAAAAGTTTCAACAATTTAAGTGCCTGCGTATTATGCAACATATTAACGGGATTAAGAAACCGAAAGAGTTCAGTAAACTTACTACACAAAGCAACTGTAGTTAACCACAACAGTCATCAGACATTCATTTTTTTGACTTAAAATATTTAAAAAAAGAAAAAAAAAAAACGCAATAAAAGGAGAAAAAGCTATCCAGAAACACAATTACATTGCATTAATAACTTCAAAAGAAGATCATGTAACATAATTAAAACGAACAAACCTGATTCAAGTGTTTCTTTCCCTTTTCCCTCCACTTGCTCATCTTTTGCTGCTTCATTTTTTTGCAACTTGGAACTTCTTTGCTTCCCTTGATCTGTAACCGTTTCCGTCATTAAGTACCCTCACACGAACGTCTTCTGACGCCACCCTACAAAAACAAAAAATTAAAATTAATTCAGCGAACAAAAGCTGGAATTTGAAAAGAAAAGAATCGAACATTGTTTGTTTGTATACGCTTACTTATATAAAACATGACTAAACATTATAAATAAACTGATATATTAAGAGCCTTCCCATCTACATACTGCAGTCATCAAGTAGTCCGCTGAATGAATACAGTGATTCCATAATCCTGATAAAGAATCAAAAGTGAATGATAACTAAAGACAAGAACAAAGATTCATATGGAGAAAATATATTTATAATAATCAAATATAGGTTATATCAATAGATTATATTTATACTAATTAAAATTACTATAAAGTAAAGGACTGGAAAATTGGTTTTAAACTAGTCGTTAAACTAGATTTGACGATATGGTCATTCTCACTCCATTTAGGAGCGCGTCTCGCAATGATTTATTTTGCATAAACGTGGAAGAAACATATATTAACCAATATTTGGGTGATTTAACAAAAATCTACATTGCTGAAGTCAACAATATATATAGCAACTGTATTTTAGTCATAAAGGCATATTAAGTTTCAAGTTTGAATATTTAAAAGTTTCGACTTTCTACCCTAAACTTTAAAATACCGTTTGTATACATCAGTTTTTAGATATTCAGATTAGCTGAACTAAATTAAACTTAAATAGGAATTTTACTTTTTTAAATTTTCTCTCTCTTTGTACCTAATTTAATTTATACCTAAAGCAACTAATCCTTTGATCCTCTGCAACCGCTCGAATTTCTGGCAGATGATCTTGGATGAGACAATAAAACGAAGATACCACTTCCTGGGTGGCAATCTTAAACAGCAAAATATATGGTAGAAAATAAAACAAATAGTGCCAAATCGTTAATTATCTCCCTGAAAATTTCGGCAATTTTCAATATATTTCATATTTGCAAAGTTCTCGAAAAAAAAGCGTGAATATAAAAGAACAAATGAAGTGTGGCAATGTTGCGCAAGTGAATGTTACCATACAGAAAAATATGGTATAACGCGAGTGTATAAAAAAAAATTAAGTGAAATATGCAAAAAAAAAATTCAATTGGACAATTTAATCAAAATGTTCCGTTCCTTTCAATCTTTATAAATTAAAACATTTCTTATATTATTTTGCCTATAACAAGATAAACGATTGCTCATTATATAAGAAATGTTTTCATTGACATTTAATCATGCCAAATGATTTATATCATTTTATAAATTGCACATTTTTTTCTAGTCTTTCTCTTTCATATAAATTATTCTGTGCTAGCATCATATATGAATATCTACGCTTTCATGTTTTAAATCAAATTAATGTTTACAATTGAACACTTACAGCAAAAAGTGAGACTTACGAAGAGATAAGAAATACATAAGACAACATGACTGTTTATTTTCCCATGGAATTATACACTTTCCACCTGAAATGACTCGTCAATCGCATCCAATAAAAGAAATTCCGTCTTTTAACATTCAACGCTACGTCACGTAGATACGTCTACCACCATTTCTTGAAAATATCACAATTTAAGAATCAAATAGCTCGAGAAACAAAACAAAGACATAAATCAACTGACCTGTAATTCACAATTAGTATGGTTTAAATGAGAGTAGTCACTATGAAAAATTTAGAACCCAGCAAATTTAAAGTATATTGAAATTAAAACTTTTAAACAAATTTCAACTTTGAATTTGAATTGAACAAAACTTTTAAGTGAAAGTTAACGCACAACTGTCCGAAAATTTATTCAAGTTTACTCCAGTAATGTATTTGAAGTATTATAAAATATTCAAGTTGAGATTAATTCAAAATAATTAAGCTTAATTGTGCTTAACTAAAGTTAAATTGGACTACGAGACTGTAAAACTGGTTAAATTTTTTTTGATGCTTAGATATAAAAGATTTTGTTACTTCTGCTACATTGCAACTTGCTGAAGACAGAATATAATTTTCGAGCGGTAATTGATAACGTTTTCAACATTCTTTCTATTTTAAACATTTAAACAAATTTATATATATTGTCAGGAAATTTGAATGTGAGAAATTCTGGAAATTCAATTTGATGAAACAACCACTGAACTTGCATTTACTGCAACATTTTCGATCTAATCGATAGAATGATACACTATCATGAAAAATTTATTCGTTTAAAAGTAACAAAAAATATGATCAGTTTATTGATTGCTTACAAATGGTCAATAATGTTTATTTATCAAATTGGTTAATTGGCATTTTAAATTAGTTGTTCATATGCAGCTTTTCAAATTAACTGATCAGACTTGTATATCTATTTCGGATTAATTGATCACATTTGTATATCTGTTCCAAATTAATTGATCTAAACAAGTTCATAATCTTCCAATGAACAATGTATTTGTAAATAATAATGGATGGTTTTGCGATTCTCATAAATTGCATTACTTCTCTTTATTATGATGATTATTTGTAAATATATACTTACCCGTAGCTATGGGTGAAAAAAAAAAAAAACATCAAATATAGTTCACGAAAAGACAACAAAGCCTTAACTAATAGTAATTAATATAATTATACACAGTGACATATCACATTATAACTAATACAATAAAATTTACCGACATATCGTAACAATGAATTAAGGAATTCAAAACCGAACTTAACTAATTAAAATGAAGTAAATCATTATCTTACTGAAATTCATAATAATGAATAGTCATAAAATCCAACTTATCAAATTGAATTTATCAAAATCATATCAATTATTTCATACATAGATGGAGAAAAATAAATGTGATATAAAAAATTTTCACACATAATTTGAAACACATAATTTAACATTTAAGGAAATAGAAAAAAAAAAAAGAAAAATTCAAATGATAATTAAGAAGTAAAAAAGAAAATGAAACATAATCTCAAATTTTGCAAGAAAAAAAAGTTAAATATTGCAAAAAAAAAAAAAGAAAATTTGCTACTGTTTTAATCATGTCCTTCTATTCTACATTTCTATTATTATAACTGAAAGTAAAATGAATGATAATTAGTAATAGTAACAATTGTTGTTATCAATGATTATTTTCATAAAGATTAATATTACTGTGTTGAAATATTTGATTTCAACAAAAATTCTTTAGAAATAAAAAGAAAAAGTAAAAAAAAAAAAAGAAAAGAAATTTATGATAAAATAGGCAAAGAAAAGAAAAAATAGTTAATTAAATACAAAAAATGGTAAAATACCATAATGAAAAATGATTTCAGTACTATTCGAGAATTATATTTATATGAATTACTCTGACAAATTACAAGCTTAATTTCACTTAGTTATATATTGCAAAAATTTCTATATGATAAGTTTATAAATAGGTTCAAAAAAATGACTCGTAACTTCACTTTATTTAATATCATTATTATGTTTTATTACAGGTTTAAGATTTCAAATATTTTCATTGATTGAAATGTAGCTACACCAATTAACATCATTTGATATAGAATTAACCAATTTATACGGTATTTATAAAAAACAAGGATTTGAGAAACTGAAGGAAAAAAGTGAAAGAAAATTGTAAAAGAAATGAAATCACGCAATAAAAGGAAATTTAGGAAACTGCATGGAAAAAAATTGAAATTAAATCAAAATTTTGCACAAAAATAAATAAAATAAAGTAAGGGAAAAAAGCATTGATTGGAAAATTTTACAATTTATTATTTAAATGAAATCATCAATGAAAAATTCGCCGTTATTTATGTAAACTAAAATGTTGTTTATCGAATCCATTTTCTTGAAAAAAAAAAGAAAAAAGAATTTATTGACCGAATTAAAAGGAATAGCAAACAAAAAGAGAAAGCTTTAAAATAATTTTTGCGTTATAAACTTTGTTACAATGAAATGTCGAATTAGAATATTTACAAGCAAATTCTACTGTCCTAAAAATGAATATTATCTTTTCTCTTTAAACTCAATTAATTTTAGTAATTTCAATTTAAATAATTTAAATGCAAGGAAATGTATTGCTAAACACATTAGAAATTGTTACATTAAATTTGGTTCAAAGAGATCAAAACTACAAAACAATTTATCTCAATTTTTCTGTAATCTTACGAAACTTTTATTTCAAACCTGTTTGAATTCAAGTCTCTTTATCTTTTAAATTTAAAAATGAACTTAAATAAATTTTTTAAAATTCAAGTCTCTTTATCTTTTAAATTTAAAAATGAACTTAAATAAAATTAAATTTAAACAAATTTAAAAATGTGTAATTTAGCACATCATTTCATATATACCTGATAAAACCACATATAACACAACGGAATACAAACCGATACAAACTACGTATCACAACGGATAGTGATAAAAACTAGGCACCGGAATAAAACTTGAAATAACTTCTCAAAAATGGATCCAAGAGCAGTCCAATTTCCCTTAATGAAAGAAAAAAAGAAATTTGATACTTACATAACAGTAATCTATTATATACCAGTATTGGTAATTTATCATAAATTAAGAAATATGCAATTTGTTTAACGAAATTGGCAAATTTTATACTTATGTGATAAAAAAATCAGCAAAAAGTTGAGACTTCAAGAGTAATTCAGAAGTTAAAGTAATAATTAATTTTTATTATCATTTGTAAATGTATTATTCATCATATCTAATAGCAACAAAATGGCACACAATCAAAAGCTCTATTTTCTTTCTTTTTTTTTTGACAGATACTTGTTTTATTAAAAAGCAAAAAAGAAAAAAGAATTAAATCATAAGAAATTGATTTCCACCACAAAAATCAATAAAAACTATGCCAATAATTTCGACAGCTAATTTAATCATTTACATATCACACTGTAGCATTGATAATATAAGTTACAACATATCATTATCTATTGATTACGTTAGCTGCTAACATGCTTAACACACATATTTATTTGTATATGTATAACCGGTAAGGTTAAATTATCTTTGTAATAATCAATATAAATAAGTTTT